CACACACGGACGGTCGGACGGACAGACTCAGGAACTCAGACGGTCGGGGACATGTATCCTAACATGTATAATCTATGTACCAAGTTTGAATGACAACTGACAAAGCATTTTCAAAAAACAAGATGGCTGCCAGTCGGCCATTTTGAATGGAATCGCTAAACCACTGCATGTGCATGTCCCACATAAGGTACTAGGCACATGCAAAGAATGAACGGAATCGGTCCACAGGATTCTGAAATATGACGTTGGATAGACTGACGCACAGACAGACGCACACACGGACGGTCGGACGGACAGACTCAGGAACTCAGACGGTCGGGGACATGTATCCTAACATGTATGATCTATGTACTAAATTTGAATGAAAACTGACAAAGCATGTCCAAAATACGACATTTTCAAAAAACAAGATGGCTGCCAGTCGGCCATCTTTGATCCAATTGTGAAATAAATCATCATGGACATGTATCCTAACATGTATAATCTATGTACCAAGTTTGAATGAAAACTGGCAAAGCATGTCCAAAATACAACATTTTCAAAAAACAAGATGGCTGCCAGTCGGCTATTTTAAATCGAATTGCTAAACCACTGCATGTGCATATGTCCCACATAAAGTACTAGGCACATGCAAAGAATGAACGGAATCGGTCCAAGGGATTCTGAGATATGACTCCGGACAGACGCACGGACACACGGACGGACGGAGACCGAATTATAAGTTCCCGTTTTCGGACTTCGTCCGAACGGGGACTAAAAACACTGCTTCTATGAAACTCACTATAGGCCACTAACTTTTAACATTAGTGACAAACACTACTGAGTTGCATACTAATTTGAACAACTGGTTCTTGTTTATATACCTGTATATTTGCTTTTTCTGCCACAGCATGTACTGTTACAACACTGATACTAGGTGTGGGCTGTGGTATGTTGGTATTTTCAGCAACAACAAGACTACTGCTGATCTGTAAATGTGCCACAAAAATTCCTGGATGCTTGGGTACAAACAAAATGTTGGTATCTTCAGATTTCCCTGGACATATGATAGCAGATGATTTCATTATGAATGGAGTATAGTTCTCGAGGTCAACCTGAAAGTACAATATTATAGCCTCAACTCAATAAAAGTTCTGAAACTTGAATATATTTGAATGCTAAGCAAGCAAAATTTACATGCAATACAAGGATTACATTACATCATTCTGATATAATCGTCATGAAATCAGTTACGAAAATTTATTATTTTATTTATGTTCCAGTTGTGTAATGTATTACATTCACTGACTGTATAGACTCCAGTGTAATAAATATGAGTGGATATTGTGCACAGAATCAATTATGAAATGTATGCATTAGAGTTAGAGGTCTCTTGTAATAAAGTAGTCAGATTACTAACATATAAACACTTACAGTTTGTATAAACATGCATTAGCTGAATCTATATACATAACAGCAGATGAAAACTAATTGGAACTAATATAATTACTGGTATAGGCTGAATACAAACACATAAAAACACCTTACAATACAAGATCTGAACTCAACCATAACAAAGCACCTTGCCAGGGTAAGCTGATGCACATCTTAGTAGGTCATGGTAATGAATAAACCTATACTGTGTTTGTTCCATTAGAAGCATATGCTACTAAAAGAGCAAAAAATGCTATGCAGGTTCAGTAATTTGTACCACAACAATTTATCTTAGTATACACCCTGCTTAAGATTATTTATGTTAACATTTTTCCTACGTTACCTGGTAATATCACCTGTCACCCCTGGGTATAGGAAAGTAAAACAACCAACCTGTGCATCATTTGCTGTCACTGATATAAGCTTCATGGTAGAGTTGATCCACCGATTAGTTCTATTATGTATTGGTAAAGACGTCTGTACTGTTATGCCAACACAGCATACACCACCAAAACGAAGATCGCTTGGTATCACTACACCCTTAGACAAGTCTAATAAGGATGCAGATGGTGCTGCTGGCCTTGTAGCTGAAACCAAAATAAATATATGAACTAGTAATTATTCAACATACATGCAGGTGTATACCGAGCAGATCTTCTTGGATCATACAAATTATATGTGCCATTATCAGAATTCTTGTTATTGCTGTTCTTTTCCCTAACAAGCCATAATACAATGTGCATTTAATGCAATGCAATGCAACAAAGTACAAGAATACCATTATCATGTTTTGTTTCAGATGTTACTAAAAAAATAATTTATGAGCTAACCTTGTGGGGGTGCCACTGTAGCTGCAACTCTTGGAGCTAAGCCGCTGTAAACACTGGATAATACAACTCCAGATTGGCCAGGGTAATTGGGTGTTGCTACATGCTGGCTCACTTTGGCTGATGAAAATGTGGGTCTATGCACAATACCCGATTGTCCCGTTGTTGAACCAACATTTTGAGACAAAGATACAGTATTTGGTGTAGGTTGATATGAAGGGCTTGATGTTATAACTGTACTGGATGCTGGTGAAATGTTGAGACTGTGTGATGGTGATACTGATGGAACAGCATGCTTTTGTGAGGTAGTCAATGGTCTGCTGTTCAAATACTGACTGGCAAGAGTGGTGCTAAGAAGAGACTGGCTGGTTAGCAGTGTTGGCACCGTAGTTAATTGGTTTCTTGGTTGTACACCCTCAACAAATTTAATACTAGGTATTGTTTCAGTGGTAACGGCTTCATTTTTGTCATCCTTTAATGCTTTACATCCTGATTGAGCAAAATGCAGCGGAGTTAGGTCCTCTTGTGTTTTCTCAGAAAATAGTGTCTTTTTTGGAGTGCTGGAATCTAACACACTACAATCATTGAATTCTGGCACCCCTAGCTTCCCTATATATGACACATCACCACCTTCATCTGCGTCACAAACTGGTGTGCTCAGAGTCTTGGCAATGGCTGCTTTTTGTTCAATAACAGACCCATAACTGACATTGCGCTCAGGTGACCTACTAGGTTCTCTATTCTTTTTCATGTTGTAAATACTCACTCTATATTTCTCAGCACTTTTTTCTTTCTCTTCATCGGGTACATTGCTGCTGGCAAGCTGGGTGGCATCTCTACTTCTTCTATAAATGGCTGAGGGAGCTGAATGCTCACTCTTTGCTCCATAATTTATTTTTGGTTCATGAGAGGAGTCAACACTTTTTAGTTTTAAATGACTGGAAGATGTGGGTGTTGGCAATTTTGAGGATGATGTCAAAGACTGCGATGTCATAATCGAATTCATTGTTAATCCATCTAAGGATTCTCCAAAGCCGCTTGATGGCGACCTTTCTCTGGATGATTTTTTGCTCTTATGTGTCCCAATTTTTCTGCCATGTTCCTTATGTGTTGACTGCTCATCAAAAGGTCTAACAGGCTGTGGCTTGGAATGTACCAAATGTTCATTATCATTTGTAGGCATAGGATAGCTATAGGTATCGACCCTATTTGGTAGATTTAGAAAATGTCTTTGTCGCTTGGTAACAGTCTCAGGAGTAGTTCTCCCACCCCTGGATGGGCATTTCTCAGGAGGCAACCCAAACTCATGCTTTTCATATCTCTGATAATCTGTCTTATGAGACGTATTATCTGCCAACTCAGGCAAGGATTGACTTTTCTGTTTTAGCATTTGTTCCATGTTTTTATTTGGTGGAGAAAAAGAGAGTTTTCCTTTCTTTCCACTTTTCGCAGTGCCTGGTGCAGAGGAAGAAAATTCCTTGGGAATTTCTGGAAGTTTCATATGATAAGTTGGTATACCTTCAAAACCATTGTATCCCCTAGGCATAGCATGGCGTTGTTGGGGCACCTCGGGAACTTTAAACAGCTGTGACTGTCTACCAGGTTTCAATGCTTCCACCACCTCAGTAGAATCATCAGACTTGATTGGACGGAACATTCTGTCATGTGACAGCTGCTTATTTGTTACTGGTTCAGGTAGAACATGTGATTG